GGGAAATATGCCCAGGTTACCAACAATCCTGAAAATGATGGATGCATAAATGCAGTCTTACTGGTTTGATAACCATTTCACACAAGTAACTTACACAACAATTGAGAAAACCAGCATTACTGTGATGTTTCAGAATGCTACCAAACAGCCTTACATGTCTGCAGTCATTAAGAGAACTATTTATTAAATTGTACAAAACATTAAAGTGGTCCAGTTTAAAAAAAAAAAAAAAAAATTTAAAAAAGGTAGAGTGTTACTTCTTCCTTTCCAATCTGGATATCTTTATTTCACTTACTTAATCACCCTGGCTAGAACTTCCAATATAATATTGAATATAATTTGCTAGAGAGTTCCGTTATTCACTATTAAATATAATATTACCTGTGAGTTTTTCAAAACTTCCCTTTATCAGTTTGAGGAATAACTCTTCTATTTTTAGTTTGTTGAGTACTTTTTAAATTATGAAATGATATTGGATTTTGTCAAGTGTTTTTTCATCTATTGAGATGACCATGTGGTTATTTTCCTTTATCCTACTAATATAGTGTATGACATTGATTGGCTTTCACATGTGGAACCCATCTTACATGACTGGGATAAATCCCAGTGGCTTGTGGAGTATAATCCTTTGGCGCTGCTGGCTTTGGCTTGCTAATATTTTATTGAAGACTTTTTTCCACCTCTATTCATAATGGCTATTGGTTTATGAATTGCTTTTCTTGAAATGTCTTTCTTTGGTTTTGGGATCAAAGTAATATTGGTTTCACAGAATAGATTAGGAATTATTTCTTCCTCTTCTATTTTTTTGAAGAGCGAATGAAGAATTTGTGTTAATTATTTAACATCTTTAAAGTTCACTAGTGAAGCTGTCCGTTCCTGGACTTTCCTTTGTAGGGCAAGTCTTTTTGATTACTAACTCCATCCCTTTGCTTGTTATAGGTCTATTCAGATTTTCTATTTTTTCTTGAGTCAGTTTTTATAGGTCATCTCTCTAGGAATTCATCCATTTCATCTAGGTTATCTGATTTGTTGCCACACAATTGTCTATAGTATTCCCTTATTTCCTTATTTATTTCTGTAAGGTGAGTAACAATATTCCTTCTTTCATTCCTCTTTCAGTAATCTGAGTCTTCGTTTTTTTTCTTGGCCAGTTTAGCTACAGGTTTGTCAACTTCATTGATCTTTTCAAAGAAAACCAGGCTTCACTGCTTTCTCCAGTGTTCCAATAAGGTTTTTACTGAATGTGCAAAATTGCTGATGTTTCCTTTACTTAGTTGCTGAAAGTTAATGTTATAATTCAACCAAACACCTCATAATTATAGAAATTCTCTTAATTGTGAAGACATAGAATACTATAGCTTAATAGGCAGAAACCCCATCCATGGTCCTAAGTCCTAGTTAACCTTTCTGAGCCCCTATACCCTCATGTATAAAATGGAAATAGCAGTAAAGATGTCTGGAGCTACCGTGAGAATTACAGGAGGAGGGATACGCAGCATCTCATGGCCCAGGGCCAGGCATTTAGCAGACACCAAAGAATACTGATTGTCTGTTTGACATCATAGACACAGTATCTATACAGGCTTCTGATATCTAATACACAATGTTATCAATCACTCCTTCATTCTCCTCCTTCGCCTGCCCTCCCCCATCTTAAAATCTTATGGCTTGAATCTTCCATTGCATTTGAGGGCTTCTATACTAAGCAGCTAAGTGCTGCTGTCCAGGGCAGCAGGTAGCATCAACACCTGGGCCTACAGCACAGCCTGCCTTTTTCCTGAGTCCTTGTGATCAAGTTGTTTTGCAGCAGGGGCAGATAAAGTGGGTCCCTAAACAACGTTTCTCAAGGACTTCCTCAAGCAATAAATGTGTTAAGAATAAACAAAAGCCTTAGAGAGGGCCATCAGCTAAGGGGTTAGTAATGAATGTCATTAGCCTGGCTTCCTAAGTAGCTAATAAGAGACCCTGCTGGTGGGATAAGTTAGATGAGACAGTCTTCAAACTAGGGAGTGAGATCTGTGTAACACAGCCTCAGAGAATGTGCCCAGGCATGCAGGTGATTAGAAATGCAATCCAGCAGGATAAGGGGGAGAGAGGGAAAGGCGAGGCAAGATTAACCTGGAGTATAGGGAGAATTAAAGAGCCAAGGGCCTAGGATACCTTTGTGGCTATAAGATAAAGAAGAGATGGGAAAGGATCTAAATATGAAGAAACTGAGCACAGCTTTGTCAGCCAGGACTTTTCTGCCAGTGGCAAACATTGCTTAATTAATAAACTGCCGAAGAGTGGCACATGGGGCAAGCACTCTGCTCTTCACAACAGTGTGAGACTCTGAGAAAAAGCACAGGCAGTGGGAGTGGGGAACAGAGAAAATGGACCAGAGAGGGTTATACTTTTAATACTTAGACTGAACGTGAGTGTTCTGATATCAAAGCAACAACAACAAAAAACTTTGGGACCCTAACATTTCCTGTCTGTATTTCAGTCAAGAAAATCTGACACTAAACACAAAAGAAAATAATCCTAATTCTGAGTTCCTTTTTCATGGATCCCATCTAGTTAGTATATTAGAAAGCGCCAAGGTAGAAAATTACAAGCCACACAAGGGCAAGTCCAGCAGTTCTGGACAAAAGCTTGACAGCCACCAGGGCAAAATTCTCAGACAAAACCCATCACCCACAAAACCAGTAACGACTAACTCCACCTAAATACTCAGCCCCTACAGACCTTGAATGCTAATAAGTTCGGGAAAGAACAATTATTTCTGTCAGTTCTTTTTTTGAGGAAAAAAATAAAGTAATAAAGTAAACAGCTGGAAAGAAAAAAGCCAGCATAAAAAACAATAGCTGCAAAGGTTCTCACACACAAACATGCACACAAATGCATGAGAATCAACATGTTTACATGAAGCACTTTAGAGAATAGATATCAACATGACCTGTAACCTTGTGTTCTGCCAAGTTCATGAGTTACACATATCACACTAGCAGAACTTTCAAAACTTATAAGATCATGGTTGAAACATTAAAATCCTCAATCATTTCTTCACCCTTTAAAAAAGATTACCCTTTCAGCTTCAGCCTCTATTCAGGAGTTTTTGTTTTCATACAGAAGAAAAGTGATCAAAGTGAGCACGAGTTTGGATACAAACTGGTACATTTTTAAATGCTAAGACAGGAAAAGTTAAATGCGATCATGTTTATCAAAAACCTGTGACCTTCTTCAGGTCAACTCATCTGCTCGGGGTTAGGCTTCTTCCTTCTCTTTAAGAACTTGAAACAAGTATGGATAAAACAGCAGGTAAATAAGCAATGGCTTTAATATTCCCGTGGGGAGTCACGGGTTCAGGAAACAAAATGGGCCAAAAAATAGTAAAATGGAAGCTTTAAGATGAAAACATTATCTAAAATTCAGTTTGGCAGTTTCTTAAAAAGATGAACATAAATTTGGCATAGAACCCAGCAATTCCATTTAGTGTATGTTTCTACTCTTGACAAGGAAAATATATGTCTATACAGAGATTCATGTGAGTGTTCATAGCAGCATTATTCAAAACAGTCAAAAAGAACTGGAAACAAAATAAAACGTGGATATTCATACAACAGAATAAATACAATTTGGCAAGAAAAAGGAATAAAGTAGAGATACGTGCTGTAACCTGGATGAGCCTTAGAATTTTTATGCTAGGTAAAAAAAAAAAACCCAAAAACAACAAAAGCCAGATGCAAGCTGGGGATGGTGGCTTATGCCAGTAATCCCAGCACTTTCAGAAGCTGAGGAAGGGAGGATCACCTGAGCCCAGGAGTTTAAGATCAGTCTGGGCAATACAGTGAGACCCTGTCCCTACAAAAAAAGAAAAAGAAAAAAAGAGGCCAGATGTGGCTCGGCGCCTGTGGCTCAAGTGGCTAAGGTGCCAGCCATGTACACCCAAGGTGGTGGGTTAGAATCCAGCCCAGGCCTGCCAAACAACAATGACGGCTGCAACCAAAAAATAGCCGGGCGTTGTGGCGGGCACCTGTGGTCCCAGCTACTTGGGAGGCAGAGGCAGAAGACTCGCTTGAGCCCAGGAGTTGGAGGTTGCTGTGAGCTGAGATGCCACGGCATTCTACCCAGGGGGACAGCTTGAGGCTCCTGTCTCAAAAAAAAAAAAAAAAGAGGCCAGAGGCAAAAGACTATAGGTTGTACGGTTCCCTTTACGTGACTGTCAGGTAAAGTAAAATCTGCAGAGACAGAAAATAGATTTATGTTTTTCTGGGGCTGGAGTCAGGACAGAGGAGTGACTACAGATGGGCGTGAGGGATCGTTTAGGGTGACAGAAATATTCTAAAATTGCAATATTATGAAAGCTGCACAACTCTATAAATATTTATTAAAAATCACATAAGTGTATACTTAAAATGTATGCTTTTTATGGTATGTCAATCATCTCAGTAGAACTACTTTTCAAACACACCCTATAAGGTGCGTGCTGCCACAGGCACAGATCTGTTGACCTAAGCATACACCCATGTCACCACCACCAAGGTCATCCTGTGCCTAACCATCACTTAGCACCCTGTCCACAAACATCGTTAATACTCATTTGCTTTCTACCACCCCAGGGTTTCTGCTCATCTGTGCCATTTTTTCTATACTGTACTTACATCCAGTGTAAAAGGAATCAATGTAGTATGTGCCCATTTATGTCTGATTTCTTTTCTTACTAAACATAGTATCTGTGAGACTCATCCAAGCTGATGCCGATATCAGTAGTTAATTCTTTCTTATTGCTGCGGAGTATTTCATTGTATAACTAGACCACAATTTGCTTATAAATTCTCCTGTGGAAGGGCAGTTAGGGTGTTTCTAGTATGGAGTTACTATCAATAAAGCTACTGTGAAGGTTATTTTAAATGTTTGCTGGTAGACATGTACTTGTTTTCCTTAGGTACACAGCTAGGAATAGAAATGCTTATTCAAAAGGGAAGCAAATATTTAGCTCAGGTAGAAACCTCCATAACATTTTCAAAGTACTAAACAAATTTACACTCTGACTAAAAACGTCTAAAAGGCCCACCTGTCTTAGAATACAACTGACAATAGTTGCTATTGTCCATCTTTTTTATTTTAGCCATTCTGCTGGGTGCAGTAGGGGAACCTTGGTTTGATTTTAATTTGCATGACCTCAGAAATGACATTGAGCACATGGTCAAGTATTTATTGAAATAACTCTTCTTTGGGGAAGAGCCTATTCAAGATTTCTGTCCATTTTTTAATAAGTTGCCTATATTTTTTCTTACTGCTTTGTAGAAGTGCTCTATTCTGGACATAAATCTTTTATCAGATACGTGAATCACAACTATTTGCTTACCTTTTCTCTCTCTTAATAAAGGATATGAAGTCCATAACAAAGGACAATTTATCTTTATGATTTCTTTTCTAGTCAGTGCTTTTTATGTTCTGTTTAAGAACTCTTTGCCTATCCCAAGATCATGACGATATTTTCCTATGTTCTCCTCTAGAAGTTTTATAGTCGTACCTTTCAGATTTGAGTCTTTTATCATGAATCAAATTAATTTTTATACATGGAGTCAGAGTTCATTTATTTTCTCATTGTGGCGTCCACTTTTACAGCACTGTTTATTGATAAAACCATCTTTTTCACACTGACCTGTAGTGGCATGATGGCCATATGTATCAGGTGGGCATATACGCATGAGTCTGTTCTAAACTCTATTATGTTCTGTCGTTCTTTATCCAAGGGAAACATCACTGTCTTAATTACTGAACCTTTATAGGAAGCTTTTTGGAGGGGGGACAGAGTCTCACATGGGTAGAATGCCCTGGTGTCACAGCTCACAGCAACCTCAAACTCCTGGGCTCAAGCCATCCTCCTGCCTCAGCCTCCCTAGTAGCTGGGACTACAGACCATGGGCCACCATGTTGAACTAATTTTTCTATTTTTAGTACAGATTTTACTTTACTCTCTCATCAATAAAGACCAGATTTTACTTTTCCTGACAGTCATGTAAATGGAACCATACAACATGTAGTCTTTTGCATCTGGCCTCTTTTTTCTTTCTTTTTTTGTAGGGAGAGGGTCTCACTGTATTGCCCAGACTGAGGTGGGGTCTAGCTTTTGCTCAGGCTGTTCTTGAACTCACAAGCTCAAGCAATCCACCCACTTCAGCCTCCCAGAGTGCTAAGATTACTGGCGTGAGCCATCTCACGTGGCCTCTTTATAGGAATCTTCAAGAAAGGAATATTTCAATGCACAATTTGTTCTAGAACTTTTTGAGTTCTTCCTGTAGGAGAAGCTAATGCCAAAAATTAACTATTTCAAGTCCTACATGTCATCATATATGTCATTGGAAGAAAAACTTTTTAATCAGTAGAATGAAAACCTGAATATTTTTCACCAAAGGCCTGCAAAATCTTCATGATCTCTTATGTTAACTTGAGGAACCTCTTTGACTCTGGGATGAAAACAACTTACCTGAGTAAGATAGATGGTATCTTTAAACGCGCGTAATGGATCTGTGCTTTGCGGAAGTTTGAAATGAAGTTGGGCCTGATGAAGCATTTGCTTGTTACCATCCTCATGATGTTGTCGATGAAGTGAAAATTTGCTATTGAAAGACCAGTCCTTTTTAGATGAGACCTTTTGAAAAAAGAATACCAGTTACCAGTTAGAAAGCTGTAACTGGACAGAACTACATGTCTATCAGTTCCTGACAAAGCAGGAGACTGCGCCCTGGGAAAGAGCTCAAAGCTCATTCTGTGTCCCCAATTTCATAAACGTTTTGTCATCATACTTGTTATTGACAAGAGACGAGACAGAGCAAAGTTAACACAGAAAACCAGGATTCAGAACCTGTTTCCTCCCTTATTCAAACCAAGAAAGCTACATTTTGGTGTTTCTCTAAAAAGCCTTGCCTTATCCAAACATATTCATTCATCGTTTTTGAAACCTTCATGTGTTTTAAAATCATTTTAAAATATGATTTTAACTATCCAGGTGCCATCCTACCTATTATTAGTTGGTCCAAACTGAATGATAGAATGTGATCAGCATTGTTAGAACTGTCACAATTCTTAAATAGGAACCAGACACCATCTGCGCAACAGCCAATGCTTTAGAGCTTGCTCACGTGCTCATCTGTTTCTCAGCAATTACTAAACATACCTGATAAACATGTGTTTAATTTTGATACAGCTGAAGGCACAACCCAAATAATAATACTCCTCTCTCCTAAGAATCAATCTTTTCTAAGCCAGGCACAATTTACAGTCTCTTTATTTTTTTTATCCTAATTTATAACATTTTTTATCATTAGCTCAAAGTAAAAAAAAAACAGAGTTAAGAAAAACACACATTGGAGTGTGCCTTTTACAAAAAAAAAAAGGGCAGTAATTTTGGCTGCGAGGCTCTTAATTTAATACACTGTTAGCATTTGAGAAAGGTGTAAGACAACTGCTGGCTGTATCTCAAAATATCTGGAGTTTTAATCCAAGGTACACTGAGATTTTGAAAAAACCTACTCTGCACCCTACCCCCAAAATTTGAAAATTAAAAAGCTTAATCCTTGTTCATAAAGCACGACTTATAACCAGTAATCCAGCAACACAGAGGCCAATCACTTTAAAAGGAAATTTTTAGGGAATTGATTCATGCTAAAATAAATGTACATTATCCATATTTAATTTGGAAATTTTTTCAAATTATATCTATTTCCCCAATTGCCACCATCAGAATCATTTAGAGAGCACTACTCCTATTATCTGTTTAAAATAGGTATTCACATTCACAATCATTTCAGACACATTTTGGATGCACACACCTTCACCAACAATCTTCTTCTTATTTTTCCTCTTTTCATTCATTTTTATTTATTTCCTTTCATTATTTTTAATTGGTACAATAATTGTACCTATTTATGGGGCATGCTGTGATACTTCAATACATGTATATAATGTGTAATAATCAAATCAGGCTAATTAGCATATCTGTCACCTTGAACATGTATCATTTCTTTGTGTTGGGAACATTCAAAATCTTGTCTTCTAGCTATTTGAAAATATACAGTAAATTATTATTTGCTACAGTTCCTCCACAGTGGTACAGAACATTAATACTCCTCCTAACTGGCTGTATCTGTTACCCAACCCCTCCCTACCCTCCTTCAACCCTTCCCAGGCTCCACTAGCCCCATTCTATTCTCTATATGAGCTCAACTTTTTAAGCTCCCCCCTTTTAAACTCTGAAACATAACTTTGGGCCTTTGATTGATAATGATTTGAATTTATGCCATTATCAGCAAACTTGAACTTTGGCTATATGGGAAGCTTTCTACTTTCCTGTAACAATGGTTTGGAAGACTGTTAAAATTTTAGCTATAACAATGTTACCAGAAAGCACTGAAAAGGGCTAGGCAAAGCTCTAATTGCTTTAAGAATATGAACTCATAATAACTCTGTAAGTAGGTACAATAATCTCCCTGTTGTTTTATTAGAGAAGTGAAAACCAGGTACGAAAATGTTAAGTAACTTGCTCAATATCCCAAGTTACTTACTGCTCTCTAGCTCTGGTCCCTAGTTCATTAAACCTGGAAGCATTTAAAGAAAATAAAACTTTCATTCAAATCATACGGCTCGACTGGATTACACATGTATTAAGGGCAATAATAGTTTATATTTTATAAGCTCTCACTACGTCAGGAGCTGTGCTAAGTGGTTCAATGTATTATTAATTAATCTTTACACACGAACACATGCATATATGCATAAACCACATATATGTGCGTGCACACACATGGAGGTATTTACTTCTATTGACCCCAATGTACAGTTGAGGAAACTGAAATTCAAAAAGATAAATAATTCGTCCAGGGCGACACAGCTAGTGAATGCCAGTTCCCATATTTCTCCACTATGTTCATAACAGTTCCCAGTTCTGCTTATTCCAAAGCCCAAATATTTAGTTACCATGCAATATTGATAATCATCTGTTGAAAATATTATTTTACAAAAAAGTAATACATCACAAATTAAAGAGCAACATTTTAATAGAGTTGTTGGAAACATGAAAAAAACTTTTTTTTTTTT